CATTGTGGTTCCCCGATGGCCTTGGCACCAATCTCCACACCTTGTTGTATTCGAAGTTATTGAGTTCTTCATGCATGGCATGGAGCCAATCCGGATCTTCGAGCGCCTCATAGACCTTTTGGGGTTCAACACAAGAGACAAACACGTGATGTTCATAATAGTTTGCTAATTGTCTACGAGTGCTTACCCCCTTTCTTAGGCTTCCAACCACATTTTCCATGAGATGACCTTTGGTGGTGAGCCTGGAAGCAATCTTCGCGGCACGACGCTCTAACTCCTCCTCAGATGTGGAAGGAGGAGGGGTAACTTGATCATCTTGAGCGCCGTCATGAGCTTGTTCTTGGTCTTGAGCTTGCTCTTGATCTTGAACTTGCTCGAGGGCGAGAGCTTGACCTTGGGCATCATTTGGTGGTTCACCACCATCTTGAGGTTGATCTTGCCCTTGGTCTTGTTCAAGAGGTTGAGGGCCTTCACTTTGTTATTCGGAAGCGTGTGGGTCTTGGGGTGGTGATGGATCCACTTGAATGGAGCATTGTCCTTCTCCTTCGGCCACAAGGGGTTCCTCAATGGGTAGGATATGACCAACACACATTCTTCTTATGGCTCAGGGAGGAATTTCATCACCTACATCACAAGTACCACTTTGCTCCACTTGGGAGCCGTTATTCTCGTCAAACTCTACATTACACGTCTCCTCAATGAGTCCAATGGACTTGCTGAGAACACGGTGAGCATGAGAGTTTGTAGCATAACCAACAAATATGCCCTCATAAGCTCTAGCCTCAAATTTAAACAAACGAACACCTTTCTTGAGAATGAAACACTTACACCCGAACACCCGGAAGTACTTGAGGTTGGGCTTGTTACCGGTAAGTATTTGGTAAGGAGTCTTGTTCAAGCCTTTGCGGAGATAGAGCCGATTGGATGCATAACATGTTGTGTTGATGGCTTCGGCCCAAAAGTTGTATGGAGACTTGAACTCTGCCATCATGGTCCTTGCCGCATCCATCAACGTCCGGTTCTTCCTCTCCGCGACACCATTTTGTTGAGGGGTATATGGTGTAGCATATTGATGCTTGATCCCCTCATCACTAAGAAACTCATCCAAGGTATAGTTCTTGAACTCGGTGCCATTGTCACTTCTTATTGTCAAGATCTTTGCATCATGTTGACGTTGAGCTTCATTTGCAAAGTCGATGACGGTTTGTTGAGTCTCACTCTTCCTCTTGAAGAAGTATACCCAAGTGTATCTTGAATAATCATCCACAATCACCAAGCAATACTTTCTACCTCCAAGACTATCAAAGGATGGAGGCCCAAAGAGATCCATGTGAAGGAGCTCCAAGGGTCTCTTCGAGTAGATGATAGTCGTGGGAGGGTGAGCCTTCTCATGAAGCTTTTCTTCGATACAAGCACTGCAAGCACGATCTTTGGCACTAACATTTGTTAGTCCACAGACATGGTCCCCTTGAGAAGACTTTGCAACGATCGCATATTGACGTGGGCTAAACAACGATGCCAAAGCCATCCCACATCAACTTTAGCCATTAGGCATGTCGCGGTCTTAGTGGGTTGCTCCGAAAAGTTAATCACATAAAGACCGTTCTTGACATGCCCAACAAAGGCTACTTTAAGAGTCTTGCTCCACAAGAGGGCCACGGTATCAATATCAAAGAAAGTGGCAAAACCCATGAGTGCAAGTTGACGAACGGAAAGTAGATTGAAAGAAAGGGACTCAACAAGCATGACTTTCTCGATCGTAAGATCATGAGAAATGACAACCTTGCCAAGACCCAATACCTTAGAAGACGAGGCATCACCCCACTCGACGTTGGTGGGTATAGAAGGAATCTTGTGCATGTCCACCACCAAGTCCTTGCTTCCGGTCATATGATTCGTTGCTCCACTATCGAGCAACCATGACCCCCCACCGGAAGCAAACACCTACAAGATATCAATGCTTGGTTTTAGGTACCCATTTTGTAATGGGTCCTTTGATGTTAGTAACAAGGGTCTTAGGAACCCAAATAGACCATTCAATGTACTCATAAGGAGAACCAACAAATTTAGCATAAACATGCCCATCACTAGCACGACACAACACATAAGAAGGGTTAAAGTCGCCGGCTTTGTTGGAAGGGGAGGCATTGCCCTTTTTGACATCACCACCCTTCACATTGTTCTTCTTCTCCTTAGGAGCACCCTCTCCCTCCTTCACAAAAGTTTGCTTGAGCGGAGGAGGTCGTTTGGCCTTGTCGTTCTTCTTCTTGTTCTTGGACTTGGGTGTGAACCCAACTCCCTCCTTGGCCACAACTTCCTTTTGATTGCTCAAAAGGTCATTGAGGTTCTTCTCACCTTGTATACACGTAACAAGGCCTTTCTCAAGTTGCTCCTTCAACACCTCACCTTGTATACACGTAACAAGGCCTTTCTCAAGTTGCTCCTTCAACTTGGCATTCTCCTCCACAAGATGCACATGCTCACAACATGGGTTAGTGGCATTTGCATTATCAATTAATACCATATGAGGGAAGGTGGCTTTTTCTTTAGTTAGCTTCACTTGAAGTTGATCATGAGACTCCTTGAGGCTAGCATGAGCACTCTTCAAGACCTTGTGGGCCTTGTCAAGTATATCAAACTCCTCTTTGAGTCTAGCGTGGTCAACGCCAAGTTTAGCCTTCTCGGAAGTTAGCACACGAGATACAACAAGAGCATGATCAAGATCTTTCTTTACTTAGCATGGCCATCGTTGTGTGACTCCTCAAGAGCCAAACGATGCCCACGCTCTTCCTCAAGAGCATTAGAGAGATCCGATATCTCATCGGCATAGTCACGACTATGACCTTCCATCTTAGAGATGGTTTCTTCACGAGCCTCAATCATGTCATTAGCTTCACCAAGTTGTTCTAAGAGAGCAACGAAGTGCTTCTTGGATTTGCCCTTGAGCTTACTCATAAAAGACTCAAAATAAATAATAAACATTTATCATGAAATAATAAAATAAATAATAATTTTATTATTGCCTCTAGGGCATATTCCCTTCATCCCAGCCCTCTCACGCATTTGGAGATTTTGCTCGTCAGATAGAATCTGGGACATCCTCACCTTATGATTTTAATGTCTCGCTAAGTGGGCGGCTGTCCTAAGGGGCAGCTATTCTGGTGGAAAATTCGGTGCACCCTATTAACTGGACATGGTTACCACACAAAGCCCACTAATATGCGCAACCGAATTTGATTTGTTGAAAAGGGCAGCGGCGGTGTTAGTCTTGTCGTGAAACCTAAGGCACACCTCCGCCGCCACCACCACCGTCACCTCCTCTGTCGATCTCTTATTCCTTTTAGTGCCGACGCAACTGAGGGCCATGACCCGCACACAGCAACTCAATAGACCATGGTGGTCTGGAGGCATCAACACAGTAGACGAAAAAATGTTCTGGTGGAATTCTGTTGCGATGCGACTCCACCTTCTTCCACGCTGCCCCGACGGGAACTCCATGGTCTACTACATCCTCGACGTCGCCCCCCCCCCCTCCAATGGCATTCCGAGGTTAGGTACACCCAGCAAACCAGACCTCCTTCTCTTCAATTTTGTGAACATGTTTTAAATTCACAAATTGTTTTCCAGTTTTGCGATTTGTTTTTTCAAATTCATGAACATTTTTATAATTTTACGATAATATTTTGAATTCACAAATATTTTTTCAATTTTAAGTTCTTTCCTAGAATTCTTGATATTTTTCAATTTTGTGAACATTTTTAGTTAGCAAACATTTTAAAATTCATGAAACAAACTTTGGAACTATGGTTGGATGGTTAGGAGAGCAGTGATATCACCAGCACACAAGGTTCAAGTCGTAGACTTAACACTGGTGCTCGCATTTTTTATTTATTTCAGGCCTTATGATGATGTGCGTTCATTGGGAGGAGACATTCCCGTCGACTATGAAGACGTCTGTAGCGACTTTGTCAATCTCAAGGTGATGCCGGCTCAGTCTCTTGGCGGTGCTCATAGGGTAGGGTGTACATGCGTGCGTTCATAGGGATGAGTATGCGTATGTACGTATGACTGTCTGCATCCGTACCGTGTTCAAAAGAAATTGTCAAAAAATGAATTTGTGAATATTTTTTATATCACAACATTTTTCAAGTTCATTAACATTTTTTAAAGTCACAAACAATTTTTGAATTCATGGACATCATTAAAATTCAAAACATTGTTTAAAAAACAAAATTTAAAAGAAAAAAGGGGGAAATTAAAATGAAATGAAACAGGCACCCCACGCCCCGCTTTGGGCCGCCCCACATGCGGTTATGTGTTATGTGCTGCAGGTGCAGGGCAAACTCATATCCATGTCCTTGAAGCAAACAGATGAATGTAGCCAAGGGATTCCTCTCACATTGTTGTTGAAATGCTTTCAACCAATGTGGTAGCAGCTTAAACACGGTGGCAAAAAATTCGCCATGTGACAGTGTAGTCCTAGTTTTATGTCTGAACGGTTCACGGGAAAGCCCGGTTTGCTACGACTGTATCTTGGAAAATAAACACAGTTCTAGCCTTATTCAAAGGATGTAATCGTATTATCTGCACCACACAGCATCACACAGCATCACACAGCATCAGATAAACAGATTTATCTTCAGGCATGCAGATTTCTCCTTTTTTTTGACAGCAAAGCACACGGTGCATGGTAATAATAACATTACCGATTAGATTCGACAGCTAAGGTTACTAGAAGGTAGGTACATCTTGCAGGTTCTACCAACAGGTAAGCTTAACAGCTGACAGTCCAGGGGTGGGGGGTGAGTGACAACAGCTACAATGTCGCCATTCAGTTCCCCCCAGGATTAAGTCACTACACATACAACGGTACCGTGCTAACACAGGAAAGGAAGGTCTCACAGATTTACATACTAGGGGCTGGAGGCCCAACATAGCTCAATAACATCATATCGAGTGGCATCGAGGAGGGGTTTCGCAACTCAAGATCTTCGCCCTGGCTATTGGAGAGAGGATCTTGTAAAGGACATAATGTGTCTCCCAACAATGTTGCTGATAGGAAGAGGTCCCCTGTCACCACAAGCTTCACAATGGTTAGTACTAGTTCCCAAACGATTTCTAGGAAAGAACTGGAAGTAGTCATACAGCCAAAATAAAAGCAAGCTCTAAACAAACAATTTTTTCTAGCAACTAAAAACATATTTGGGCATTCTAGTCGTCATTACAGATTGTATGTCCATCACAGAAAATGAATCTCCAATCATACTGGATCTCTGGTCCAAAAGAACAGATTTATAATACGAATAGCATAAGATTTCCTCAATTATAAAGCCATAGTAAAGCAACTGCAACTGAGCAAATACTTAAGATTGCATTCTGGCAGCTCAAACACATGTGAATTGACTGCATTCTACTTTTACTTTGTTACAGATCAAATCGACTATTATGGCCACACAAATCTGCAGTCATGCTGGACCTAGTGCAAAGCAGATATCTAAAATATGACTGATATCAGATTTTGTCGACAGTTGAAATATTCAATCTAGGATAATCTCGGCATGAGCAATCAGTTATAATGCATGTACAAGAGGATTGGCCTAGCGTGGGAATGGATGTGTTCACTTACCAGGCACGAGAATCGCAGCTGTTATTGCGGTTATCACCCATGACAAATACATGGTCTTCAGGGAGGCGCTGCAGGAGGATGGATTGTTTTAGTATCAGATTGATCCGGGCATAGGTCGAGCAGATAACAGGGATGGGATGGGAGGGAGAGATCATCCACCATCTGAGGCCCGTCATCTCGAAAGAATAACAGGGCAGTCAAGAAGTCAACAACACGGAGCAGCCATGCCACTTTCGGTCCTCCTCTTGCAATGGTAAAGTCATTTGTTTGTCTAGTAGTGACCCATAGGAGTTTGGGTATACAAGTATCTCTGGACCTGGCAATAGCAACTCCTCAATGTTGTTCAAGCAGACTATGCTCACAGATAGAAAGAGATTCAACAAACCATGGCTTCCATCGTGTACGACCCACCATGGGGTGCGGTGTAATGTTCATTCTGTGCAACACCATTAACAATAAGCTGGCCTTGTCGGACCTGTAAAAATGTTGGTGCGTAAGCGTGGGCATCCGGATTTATGGAGAATGTATAATGCATCTTGATAGTTATTTGGCCATTGCTGAAGCAGCATATATGTAAATCGGCAGGGTGAACAAAATGAAGAATGACAGAGTACTTTGCATGCATCTGAAGATATGTGTTATCTTAATTTGTTGAAGCAGCATATATCAATAAATCAGTAGGATGAATGAATGATAGTAATATTGTGGGTGGAAGCAAGGCAATGTTAGCATCACGCCATCACCCTTGCTCAATCGGCACCATGAATAAATGATACTGGCAGTACTACAGCAGATTTAGTAGTGTTTATTACCTCGATGAAATCTCCAGGGGTGGCAACAACCCTCTTAATAAATACAACATCTTTATTTACGCCGCAATTCTGTAATAAGAAATGGCAAAAGCAGTGCAATGCAGCATCAAATTGTGAAGCTGAGAGAAGTTAAAAATGGAAGGGGAAAAGCAGAGCTGCGTACCTGCAGGGCGGCGGGCACCCTGAAGAAGACTACATCCCCGGCAGACGGCTTCCGGAACATGTAGGTGACCTGAGCAAAATCAAAGCATTCCCCATTTGGTTAACTAACAAATGAATCACGGCAGGCGTAGATCCAAGGCCGGAAAGCATAATGCAAGAGAGAACCAAGCAGAATGGAAGAGATCTACTACATAGCGGCTAGGTTATGGGGGAGGAGGGGGGAAGGGGAGGCGATTTACCTTTTCTGCGACGGCGCGGTCGCCCGGGCGGAGGGTGGGCGCCATGGAGGCGGAGGCGACGAAGCGGACCTCGGCGAGGGCGGCGGAGAAGAGGAGCAGGACGAGGAAGAGCTTGAATCCGTCGGAGCAGGAGGGGCAGCGGAGGCGCGCGAGCGAGGGGAGCCACCAGCGGTGCAGGAGGGAGGCGGACGAGGCCAGCAGCTGCAGGTGGCAGGGCAGCCAGTCGGCCGGCGACATCGGCGCGATGAGGCCCCGCAGCAGACGCGGCGGCGCCATCGCCATCGGATGGAGTGGATCTCCCCTCCTTGGCCTCCCTCTCTCTGTCCGCCAATAGAGGGGGGAGTGGGGTGGGGTGGGGCGGGGGGTTGGGGTGTGGAGGAAGACTGGCTACTTGACCAGTGGGAGTAATGGCTTCCTTCCACAGCAAGACTCCACCTTGGCCTCCCCCACCGCTGTAGTAACCGAGGAAGAAAGACCAGACCGGTCATGTACACACACTGTAGTGGGCGCTCTTCGGGTTAGGGAGAGAAATGACCGCTCTGCCCTCCGGCTACACAAAATTTGACAGTTTTTGAAAATTTGAAGACAAAGAACATTCATGCTGTATGGAGGGATAGTATATTGAGTCAACTGGTCTAACGCGCAATATTATTTGTCGAGAACCAACATGTGGTTGGCTGGTTAGGAGGGCAATGACACTCCCAGTCCATCGGAGTTCAAACCACTTGTTTGAAGCTTTGACGTCTGTTAGGGCCATAGGGGTGGAATATTCTTTCAGTGGGAGTCGGTGTTCCTATCAATAACGAGACACCTACTTTAATGGATTGAATGAATGTACGCATTTGTGAGTGTTTGTGTCAGAGTTGTGTTTCAAAAAAAATCCAATAGTCTACATAATGTTGTGTCTTGCACACTGCCGCAGACGATGGCAATATGGATAATTTATGTAACAACACATGGTATAACTAAGAGCAACTCTGCAGAGTCGTCGTATCGGGGATCGTCATCCGTCATATGGATAAGAAGGTCGTGAAAGTTGTACGCAAATACAAAGTCTTCATAAAACGGCCTCCATATCTTTTTCTTCATTTTCTTCAAAAATGTAGGGGCAATCTATGCTCGGATTAGACATGTCAAACACATGTTTCAATGCAATAAAATAATAAAAAATTATAATAAGTGCCAAAATCCGTCGCTTTACATGTAATTAGCAACTATAAATGTTGGTTAACCACATTTTTAAAATAAGCAATGTCGCTATTCGAGCCACATTGCTACCTAGACTATCTATACTACTTGGTGGTCGGCGTTGTCTAGTCGCGCCCTCCTCGTCGTCCACGTCAGCATAGGTTTCCTCCTCTTCCTCTTAGGACGAGATGTCCTTGAGGTAGGCATGGTGGTCGAACTCACGAGCGACAGTCACGATTTGCCGGTGCTCCTCGTTGTCGGTGAATGTGGGGTCGTACTCACGGATGATGTATGCATGTGCAAGCTTGAATAAGTTACTTTAGCCGGTATACACTTTTTTCATGTTTTTTAGCATCCTTATTTTAGTTCGATACAAATAAATTGGTGATGAAAGGAATCACTCCAAGTCCCAATGCCAATTTGCTATTACAATTGTTAAAAACGTTTGAATACAAACAAACACCCTGAGATAAACTTAGATGTAGAAACAAATATATTTCTTTTCTTGTCGGACTCAGGGATTGCATCATGCATCGTGGACCTCTCCTCGGTCGGCACAGAGGTTGCATCGTGCGTTCATTCTATTTGTCTGGACTCGTAGTTGTTTCGCTCTTACAGACCTCTCAGCGCCACAGACACATTGTTGCATCAACGCAAGCAAAATAACTTGGTGGTCCCTTTAAAAAAGGGTGGCATAGCCAAACGAAGCTGGAGTAGAATAACTTTTGGTCGCACCGAGCCCAAATGAAACAAAAGAGGCCTCAGGATGCTTGGTCTCTCAATAAAATTGCCAACTGACAAGGAACTAATTCAAGTAAGAATCATACGAATAAGGGGTGGGCCGAATTGGACAAGGAGGGGAGTCCTTCCCTCTTTGGTTCACCCGAACCAAAGGAGGAGGACTCCTTGGCACACCCCCTCTCTTCCTCTCCACCTATATATATGTGGGGAGAGACCCGTCTTGAGGTACACCAAATCCTAAAGGGGTCTCTTTGATAAACCCCAAGTGCAAAGAATTATCGTAGCACTTTTCAAAGATGGGGGTGGTAAGTATGGAGTGTCAATCCACAAGGAGCTAAAGGTAGGATTGATATACTCTTAGGTCCTATCTGCTAATGATACAACCCTACATACACAAAGTGTTTGCTTTATATAGGAAATAAAACTAGAAGTACTTTGCGGGTATGAAAAGATAGTTTTACAAGATAATAAATAACTTGTAAGTAAAGGTTAGGTGTTGTTTAAATAAAATATCATAAAATAAAGATAGTGAGTGTGGAAAAATGGTGGTAGGATGTGGAATTGTCCCTAGGTAATTAGCTAAGTTACTAGATCGATTTTCATCATTGTAGTTTTATAGGTGTGAGAGATCTCTACTAACATACTATCTGTCTTGGAATTGTATGTTCTTATGATTGGAACATTAGTAAACATACACAAATACTAAAATGTTTATTAACTAAGGTAAACCCAACCATAGCATTAAGATAAAGTGACCCCCTTCACCTCATATGCATCAATTTCTACACTTAGCCTCGGTAATATATGTCACTCCGGCCGGGCTATGCATAGTCCTATCAACATACTACTAACACTACACTACTAGGAAAAAGCCTATACACAGAATCTTACCAGCAGCGCTCCTCAAAATACCATGCTACTGTTATTTAGCAGCAGCGCGTGATATCAAAACGCGCTGCTGAAAGGAAAATAGTAGTAGCGCGTCCACCACAAACCACGCTACTGCTATAATTGCCATGACCTCGCCCCCCCACTAGTTATAGCAGTAGCGCCCTATACTGAACCGCGCTACTGCTATAGAAGTTAGCAGCAGCGGCTTTGAAGAAAACCGCTACTGCTAAGATCAGCCCACAAGTTTAGTCCCACCTCGCTCCGTGAACAGGGTGTTTACCACCTTAAATATGTTATTTCTGAAACTACCACAACCAGTTGGTCTTCACTGAACACTATGTGTAAAATTTGTGGCCGCAATATGAGTCCTCTCCAGTTCCTACCGGAGAGGACTCATATTGACAATTCAGATTATACACAAAAAGATCATTGATGGCCAATGTATTTTTGCATTGACGTATTTTTTGTATAGTTACACTTAGCAGTACGGTTTATATGCAAAGCGCTACTGCTATTCAGATTAGCTGTAGCGCGTTTCGGCAAATGCGCTACAACTATCCCTACCTTATCCCCACGCGCACGACCGGCCCTCACTCACACTCTCACTCTCGCCCGCGTGCTGATAACCGTCGTCGTGCGTCATCGCCTTCGCCGCCTTCGCCCGTTCGCTGCCGAGGTACTCCCCTTCTTCCGTCCCTCCTCCCTCCTCCTCGCACATCCTCCCTCTGCCTGCGACCGCCCCTCCCTCCTCTGCCGCCGCCCTCCTCCCTCCGCCTGCGGCCGCCCCTCCTCCCTCCTCCGTTGACAGCCCTCCTCCCACGGCCCTCGACCTCGCCGCCCTAGCTACCTCTCCGTCGCCCCCACCCCCTGCCACTAGTTAGTACTAGATTTAGTAGTAGTAGATGTTAATTTAGGGTTCATAGCTAGTACTAGATGTTGCTTAGTTAGTACTAGATTTTTAGTAGTAGTAGATGTTAATTACTAGTAGTGATGGTACTAGTTAACTAGGGCAGTATGATTAATAGTAGTTGTAGTTGAACTACTTTAGTTGTAGTTGAACTAGTTTAGTAAGTAAATTAATAAACTAGTTGAACTAGTTGAATTAATAGAACTAATGTATTTTTAGTAAGATAATTAATATGACTAGTTGAACTACTTTATTTTTAGAAAGAACTAGTTTTTTTTCTATTTATAGTAAGTTTATATTTAGTAAGAACTAGTTGAATTAATAAAACTAGTTGAACATGTCATATTTGTTGTTATTTTTTAGTTTAAGCAATTATTCGGGATGTATTAGTGATAACTTATACGGTTTCAGGTGACCACCGTCGTCCCCGTCACCGACCCCCTCCGACATCCCCGCCATCGTCCCAGTCACCGACCCCCTCCGACATCCCCGTCGTCGTCCCAGTCACCGACCCCCTCCGACATCTAGGTGAGACCAACCAAATATCCTTGTATATCTTGTGTTGTTGCTCAAATAGGATATGTGGTTGCCCAAGTGGCCGTTCATGTTCAGTTTACATCTTTGAGTGGCCTATGTTTTGCCGGAGTGTTGATTAATTTCCGTTCCAGCAAATTTCAGGCGCTCGATATGTCCTTTTTTAGCAAAGGTCATGCCGAATTTTTTCGTGAATTCTAGCATGACTTGTGCTAGAATATGTACAAGTTTAATCTTTGAATTATGAACGTAGGAAATGTCGTACTCGGACGACGACAGTCTCCCGGGGGAGTGTAGCTGGTGCCACGATGATCGTGGTATGTGCGACAAGTTCGTTGAGCTGGACGAAGATCGACGCTTCAGCATTAAGCTCGAGGAGACCTTCAATTGTGAAACGGTACGCAACAACGACAAGTGTTTTTTCGTAATTAAGCATGACTTCAACTATTTCAACGTCCAATTTTCATATTTTACAATTCGACTAGCTTATCCCATGCCATGCAAGACGCCATGTCTTGGAGAGGATGGGTTTTGAAGACCATGAAAATTTCAAAGCAAAGAAAATACACCTAAGGACCCATCATGATATGGATTTTGAAGTAAATCTGTGCAATGCTCAGAGCGTAACCCATTTTGGTTGCCAAAATTGGGAAGCACTTTGCAAAATGTATGGTTTTTATGAGGGTATGATTGTCAACATGGATCTTGGTGATCCTGACATCGAGCAAGACAATATGGACATTTGGGTCCTTGTTGATACGCTTCCGATTGTACCGCTATGTGAGTTTATCAAACATAGTTATTAACTAATTTATATTGTTTATTTCAAAATAGTTGATAGCTTATTTCCATTGACAGCTTATTTTGATTCTTCAAAGACTGTGCGAAAGATGGTAGATAAAACCCACTACACTGATGGCACCGAATTAACGTATAAGGAGAAAAATCATCTGATCACATTTTGTACTCTTCTTGAGAATTACAATAACTATTATCAAACTCCTCCAAATTATGGTGAATA